AATTTTACGATTGCCGGGAACTACGAAAAGCAGGGGACCACTGTACATTGAATTTTTGTAAAGGTTTAGTCGAACACGGGGAATGTCATAGAGATGTTTGTGTCTGGTGTTATGCCTGTGGATCCTGTCACAACTATCAAGAAAGCATTTTAGGTCAAGGTTAATATTGGAATTTAAGGTCCTGTAGATATAGATTGCACAGTAGTAAGTGTGGATGTTTTGAACAGGGAGTAAGTTTAGATCTTTGAAGAGTGGGGGGTGTGTTGCCAGGGATGAGATTTAGTGATTATTCTTACTGCAGCTTTTTGTTGGGTTATTATTGGCTTTAGGTGTGTTGCTGCAGTTGAACCCCAAGCACAGATAGCGTAGGTGAGGTATGGATATATAAGTGAATGGTATAGTGTGAGAAGGGCAGTTTGCAGTATGTAGTATCGTATCTTGGAGAGGATCCCCACCGTTTTGGATACTTTTTTTGTTATGTCTTGGGGATATTTACTTATCAGCGGTTTTGCCTACTTTGAGCCCTATTTTGGGCCAATTCCATTGTTCCAGTCGACCAAACTCAGCTATTTCACTAGAACTCCTTTTATTCTGTCGATTTAGTACAAGAAACTGCCAATTTACCTATTTCAACTACCCAATAAAGTGATCTGAAATTACTAATTTGGCCAGTTTCACACATAATTCAAGATATGCCAATTTCAAAATAGGGTCCAACATAAACAATGCAAACATGCCTGGCACTAATATATCATTTTATCTGTTCATTAGTCATGTCTAGAGACCCCTCTTGAATTTTTATTCACACAAAAAAAACAGAAGATTTACTGTTATTCAGACTACTGCATAATTGTATAAATAATATCAGTGCATTTGTGAATGCATATTAGACCCACCAGTTGGCGTGTATTGGATGCGTGACGTGATTTGTTTACTTCTGAACATCAGCAAAAATCGAACATTTCTGCTTCTTTGAGCTCAATATCAAGCTACTTCTAGTCTTCAAACCATTGAAACCTCATCTCTATTTCTGTAATATATCTTCCATTCTGTCAAGTGAGACCAAGAAACTAGAATACAACCATAAATACCCTAAGAAAATACACTGCAAACTCACAGTTTTAAACCAAAAACACGGTCGCAGCATGCTGCAGGACTTTTTTTTTTTATACTGCACACACTGACCATGCAGACCCATTCTCTCACATGTAGGCCTGCCAGCAAGATTTGAAGCAACTAGAATTTTGTCATTAGCACTCCTCTGACACGTAAGAGGCAGTCAAATTTTCATTTACTGTACAGTATCTCAGCTAAATTTTCACTTAGTGTATTCATTTTTACAGTTTACATGTGATGTATAATATAAGTAGGTAGTAGGTTGGTAGACAGCAACCACCCAGGGAAGTACTACCATCCTGCCAGATGACTGTGAAACAAACCTGTAACTGTTTTACATGATGGTAGGATTGCTGGTGTCTTTTTCTGTCTCATAAACACGCTAGATAACAGGGATATCTTGCTACTCCTACTTACAGTTTGGTCACACTTCACAGACACACACATGCGCATATATATATTATATATATATATATATATATATATATATATATATATATATATATATATATATATATATATATATATATATATATATATATATATATATATATATATATATATATATATATATATATATATATATATATTATATATATATATATATATATATATATATATATTATATATATATATATATATATATTATATATATATATATTATATATATATATATATATTATATATATATATATATATATATATATATATATATATATATATATATATATATATATATATATATATATATATATATATATATATATATATATATATATATATATATATATATATATATGCAAAACAACCACTGTGAAAGAATAGAGAAATTCCAAGCGCTTTCGTGACTACTCACATTATCAAGGAACTATGAAAGTAAAGCATCCAAGGAAGGTATATAAGGGGTCTGGCCAACACCTCACTATCAGATCCCACAACGGTTAAACACCTGACACGCGCCAGCCCGACTGGACAGGTCCTTCGCACAACCCACCAACAAACTATTCTACCCAAGAAAATTTTAAAAATTATTATTTGTCCAGTGTATTATTAAATTCTTCCCAAATTCTATTAATTATAAATGGATCTAATTTATATAAACCAAAGGAAATATTCATATTATTGTCTAAACTGCTTTTTATGAAACAAGATTCAATAATATTCCTGTCGACCATGGACTTGCTTGATACTACTTTCTCAACTTTTTGAAAATCAATTGGATGGTTAAAATCTCTTACATGAATAAATAGAGCATTGGAATCTTGTCCAGTTCTAATGCTATATTTATGTTGTTTTAATCTTAGTTCGAGATTTTTACCAGTTTGACCGTAATAAACTTTATCGCAAATTTTACAAGGAATCTTATAGACACATCCATCAGCATTTTGGGGGGAATTCTTTATCAAAAGTTTTTTACTGTATCAAGATTTTTGAATACAACTTTAATATTAAAAGTCTTAAGAAGAGAAGGCATATCAACCAAGTTTTCATGGTAAGGGTTAATAAATACAGCTATGTTGTACACACACTTATTTTCATCAGATTCTGTCCCTGTTCCTCTTCCAGCCTTCCTTCAACTCTCATATACATGTATAATTAGTATCATATACTGTCTCATTATATTAGTACTGTAATGTAAGTAACAAATACCACACAATCTGTATATAACATACTACAAAATTAGTAACAGATATTTTCCCATTATATTTGCACAGTAAGGCCCCACTTGTATGGCAGGTTAGGTTCCAGGCTACCACCACCATAAAGTGAAAATCGACAAAAAGAGGAACATAGATTTTTTTTGCTTCCAAATGCATATTAAAGCCTGATAACATGTTTAAACTATCATATATTCAGTGTACAAAAGAGTAGATACAAAAGATTGCACAAAGGATATAAACAGATTGAATAAAATAGCATCAGAAACTCAGCTGTAGTGTGTCGGGCTGAAAAAATACCAGAATAGCGGAACAAGCACTGAATAAATTAAAAAGGGGTATAATTGAAAACCGCCATATCAGCGGAATGGTGCAAAGTGGAACGCCATAAAGCAGGGCCCTCCTGTATTGTAATTTAAGACAAATACCACTCACTCTGCTAAACTTATTGTGTTGTCACCACCTCGTTGCCCTGAGTGGTTATTGATTGTTTCATCATAATACAGCTAAGTTAACATCCTAACCTTGTAAATACATGGTGAAGAAATACACAGGTAAAGAAATCTACTCTTGCTGTTTGCCTTGCCACATTTCAAAGCAGTTTGAGGTATTTTCTGACACTAGGTTAATAATCATAAATCATCACACTATTAATTGAAACTGCTCTGCCAACTGCATTTCTTGGGGAAAAAGTAAGCAAAATCTAAGACGATTTTGTGCTGACAATTTTCAAGTAATTTTTGATACAACAATCTTAAACATTAATACAAAATGTGTCACCAAACTAACTGATACAAGGTAAGTATCAACTAGTTTGGAGTATCACAAACGATGACCTGAAATATTCACTCCATAAAACTGAGGATCACTGAGCTAATTTCAATATGTAATTCATTTTTAATTGACCATTTGCCATTTGCAACTTTTCTTATTGTACTTATAACTGTAGTTAACTGCACAAGAAGTCTTGTATAATGGGCTGTCTAGTTCTTTAGTATTATGTAGTATGCTTTATGATTAGTTGCCCAAAATGCATTGAATAATTAGTATCTTACTTTTGTGCCTACTTCTGTCCTAATTCATGCATACCCACTGCAATCCTTGTATGGCTCAAAATATTATAATTATTATAATCATTATTATTATTATTATTATTATTATTATTATTATTATTATTGTTATACATGCATACATACATATATACGTCTTAACGCCCTTCAAAAATGGAGAATGGTTGGCCAACCATTTTTCCAGTTGTGACTATTTTTGTAATTCTGCTATGAGAATATTTATATTTATGAATTTAGCCATCAACTAAAGTTAAAACACAGCATGTTATCTATGTTAGGCTAGGTAAGGTAATGTTAAACATATACTGTGATTGCCTAAATAATTATAAATGTTATTAGTTCGTAAGATATTTGTCACTAAGCATTTATTTTAGAAAATAAATATTTCTTACAATGTATAGGACTTCAATGAAAGTCAACTTGGTCTGACTTTTTTGGGTTATATTATATAATTTACACACGTTACTATATATGGTAATTGTACTCACCTAAATTTCTGTAACTGTACTTATGTGTACCTGTACCTAAATAAACTTACTTATAGGATGTTTTATGTAAGTTTATTTAGATAAAGGTATACATAAGTACGATTATCAGACATCATGCAAATACCCAGGATAACCCAAAAAAGTTATCCTAGGCATACTTATATATACCAAGTTCAACTGCCAGGCTAAACTAATCCTATAAATTATAGTTAATTGACAGGTTCGTGTTGTACAGTATTGACAAGGTTGCTTTTGATAGTATATTTAAATTGTAACAAGAAGTGAACTGTCAAACCTGTCAAAGTTTAAAATTGTATTATATTCATAGGGATGTACTAAGCCTTAGAGGTCATACAGTACTTCAGATTTATGTAGTCTACCACTCTGATAATATCGAATGTAAAAATCTAGATCCATTAGAGAGAAAAGCATTTATTCGAGAAGCACTTTTTAATAAAGGAAAATATTATTTCATAGCAACATCTTGTAAATAAATGGCCATGTATTCCTCGTAAACGAAGCCGTTTCAGTCATTTAAAATAATATACTCAAGCTCACCATGTTAATTTTAAATAATGTAATTTAATGACGATTCGTTACCTTTTTCTCCCTGGCAGAACACACTGACAAGACTATCTGTCATGTAAGAAGAAATATGTCACACTCACCCGTGAGCAGAGGCTGAATGACGCCATTCTGTGAGTGGTTATTTCGGATACGATCCGAAGCAGTTTCAACGCGGTCAATCATGATCATGTCACAGGTGTGTGAGGGATGAGTGGTCGTCCTATCACCCTCCCACCGTCCTGGTTTCGTCTGCACTAAACACCATCACCTGTAGAATTATAGGTACTCCAGACGCTATCTAACTCCCCAAGAAACCTCTTCCAAGTGACAAGAAAACGAAAGAACATCGCACTATTGTACCATCATCTTATTTGAACATTAATATGTATAAAGAAGGGATATTAAAAAGAATGTAATCCTATATAAAGATCAAAACAATGGTTTCATGTTATCTATAAAGTGGGCGTGTCCTGCGCAGACGACAGCTGGCCCAAACACTGTTTGTTTCCTAGACTAAACACCAACCTTAAGATTGCATTTTAATACTAACAATATTGATAGTTATTTAAACAGGTATTGCGTAATCTACCTTTATCTACTTTAGTGTATATCAAGATAAAGTGCGATAAAATGCTCATAGTTCTAAATTAAAAGGTACATACTGTACTTTCTCTAATATAAAAATAAAAACAATAAAAACTATTGGTTTGTTAACACATAACTTCATTAAAAGCTAAAACTATACATAAATAAAATTACTAAAATTATTATCTTAAGTTCGGGTTGACGATTTAATAAATTTAGTAGGAGAGTCGTCGTTCGTCATAGAGAAAAAAAAGTTTGGAGGTCACTGAAGAACATGAATGAGGTGAACCTGCTTGCATTACTATTTTTGACACTTATTGGTAAATTTAATCTAATTCTTGAAATTATATTGTGTGGAATAAATAAGCGTCTGGGAAGACGATATACGTAGGCCTTAAAGCTTATCAAAACCAGGTAGACTGAATATCAACGTGTCGGATACCTGTTCAGTCACGAACTGTGTCATTTATTACATCTCATTCAAGGGTCACTTCCATGATGCTGATGAAGATCTCTTGATCCAAGGAGCTGGAGATGCCCTTCCCTTCCTTGGATCAAGCCTGACTGCATCCCATTCCCATATGAGTTTAGCTCTCCCCGTGGATAGTGTCACTATACTAATATAACTAGCCTAGCTTTTAAACTGCCCACTGCCACATTTTTTTAGTGTAGTTCTGAATTGTTTAAATCTCTTACTGATTATTGTTATCAGTCTTTATTGTTAGTAATATGTGCATTATCAGGTGGTATATTTGATTCCTAGTCTTTATATTAGTGCTATTACTTAATCGTCACTTTTTACTTCAGACATTGCCTACATTCTCTTAAGTCATTTTGTTAATCTCTCCTATCCTTCCTTCTTCCATCTACATTTCAGACTTGATGAAAATTGGACAAGAGGTGGCCCGGCCTTTGCTCCCTGTCGTGGGAGTGTCTCAGACCAATGTCCGCCATGGGAGGAAGTACAAGCACCTCCTCATCTTCTGAGCCTAGCTGTCCCCAGGCCTAGCCCCTCCTAGCCCTCACGGGGCTCGGAGGGAGAAGCTAGTCACATTGGGATGTCACAAACCCCGCTCACACTGGGCTCGAAGGGTGTGGCAGCTGCATAACAGCAGACGATGTCAGGAGGTGCAAAGGCAGTAAGCACTTCAGGATCCTTTAGGAGCCACACCCCAGCTTTGGCCATTAAGCCCGAGTGCTGGGGAAGCTCAAGAATGCCTCTTGCTGTGTGTGTTGCTGCTACTACTAGATCACCTGTCCGTTGCACTCTGTCTGCATAGGCATGTATGTATAATGTTCACCAAAACCAGGGTCCTAGCACGGGTCTTAATCTTGCAATGACCCGTCTCTGACTCCCAAAGACTTGGTTCTTCGTTTTTGGAGCATATGCTGCTCAAGTACTGTTCTGGAAAGTTCATCTAGTGCGTCTCATATTCGACTGTGATTTGGTACTGAGGTTACTCCATCTCTGTTGTTTCCTGAGCTGGGGACTGGGCTCTGTCCGTTCTGAGAATCTGCAGATTCATGGCGTCCACCGTCTCCTCGGTCAGTAAGTACACCCTCAGGAGTGTGCTGACCATCTACCGGAAAATATTCTGTTGTTCAGTTGAGTTGATTGTGCTGCATATATCCGTGAATGCCTTGATGAGTGTTACGAGATCCTCCCTGGTGAGGGCTGGGTTGGCGGTGGGTTCGAGGCAGTAGATATTATCTGGGCTGTTGTGGTCTCTGGGGACTGCTGAGGGTTGTATTCTTCATTGTGCGCACCGTGGCCTGTTGCTGTGTGCCAAGTTGGGTAGCCGGCATCTGCTGGTGAGGTGGAGGCATAGCCAGGGAAGCCTGCATAGTGGCTGTGCTGGGCAAGGAGTGCCTGCATTGAAGTGTTATGGCCGGTGGGGGCTCGTGTAGTGCCGGCTGCTGATATCATTGACCAGATGTTTCCTGTTCCTTATGTTTTTGTTTCTTCGTTGAGGTAGAGGAGCAGGAGGCTCCTGTCCATGACGCATGTTTGAGGCTTCGAGGGTCGGAAATTCCTCAGCATTGAGTTAGGTGGCCTAATGACAGTTCTGCAGTATGGCAGGATTCTCTGCACCCATCATCTGCTGAGAGTGATGCTCTGCCATAGCCTGCTGCCTCGTTGTTGGCGTCTTCCAGGCCTCATGAATTCTAGCTAGCCTCTCGGGGCATCGAGGGTTCCAGGAATGGTCTTTCTGTGTGCAGCTCAGGCATCGTGGAGTGGGTGGCAATGCATTTTTCAGCTTGGTGATGCAGTCCTCGGTAGGATGGCGCTGGCTAGACACCGCAGATTACTCTGTTCGGACGAAGTGCACCCAGATGTCCATAACGCTGGCACTTGAAACAGCGAACTGGTTCTGCCGTGAAGGTCCTGACATCGTACCTGCCCCAGAACCGAGGTCCAGCTGGGATGGCAGCGGTCCTACATGCTGAATGAGGACCTGCCGGGTTGGTGCGTTGCCTGCCGACTTTGCCTTGAGATGCTGAGCTGACACGACACTGGGGTGAACTGCTACTGCCTCGATGGGCATAATCAGCGAGTATCGCATCACTACACCCTTGGTGATCTGCCGAGAGTGCAGTTCCTCCAGGGTGAAGGAGCGGTCTGTCTCCGTGACGATCTTCAAGGTGGTGTACATTTCCTTGTTGAGAGGAGTCAGTATTGGTTCTCCCCTCAGGTTGAACTATATCTTGAACCTCAGTTTGTGCCGTGATTCCAGGTGTATAACCATACCACAGTGGGTTCTGTGCTCCCCGTAAGACTTTACCTTGAATCTGCGAAGTGAGTTGAGCTGGTTTGCCTGCTCCTTGGACAGACGGCACATCTTACTGTTGTACACAATGATCCATCCTTCCGTATTTGCTGGCTGCATGGCTGGAGCTGTCAGATCTGCAGACTCTTCCTCTTCCTCTGATGACACAGAGTGGTCTTGCAACTTCTTCGCTAGGACTGCACCCCGCATTTCCAAATCTGAGTCCTCTATTGAGTCCCTGGAACATCGTGACCTTTTCCTTTCGGCAGAAGCCATGTACATGAATGGTATACAATACTGACAAGATGAAAATTAGACACATGTGCTACATCTGGGTATCTTTATTTATGTACAACTTGTCAGACACTGCAATATGATGGAATCTTTGTTCAAAGGAAATCTACATGACCTTCACGGCTACTTCTACCACTAACCCATCCCTTGGATATGACCTACTTCCACTGGGGAATCCCGCCTACCAGTGACTATGCCCTCATCTGCTACCCGTCCCTTTCCACCTGACGCCAGTATATAAGCACCAGCTTATATACTGGCGTGTGCTATGCTCCAGAATCTTCACGACTACGGTGCTCTTCACACCAACTCGAAGGCTGAGGGACTGATTACCCCATCTTCTGTACATAGTTCTACTGCCTTCCATTCATGTCACTAAATTTGTATTGATAAAGCCACTGGATGGCGAAGCGTCTACAATAAAGATACCCAGATGTTGCACATGTGTCTCAATTTTCATTATGTTGGTATTGTATACCATTTATGTACAAAATTTTAGTCTTCTTCCTTTTCTACGTTTTCTACTTCCTTGCTCACGAATGCAGACACTGACCCAGATTTAATCTGTTCAACCGCAGTGATCACCAATATTCTTCTGAAAATAACGTCTGTATTACACAGCAGTAGTAGAGGTGTATGACACTTGTGGGTTTAGCGCTTAGTTATGATTATTATAATATTAATTTATTACACAGCCAGTTTACCTGGAGTTTACCTGGAGAGAGTTCCTGGGGTCAACGCCCCCGAGGCCCGGTCTGTGACCAGGCCTCCTGGTGGATCAGAACCTGATCAACCAGGCTGTTGCTGTTGGCTGCACGCAAACCAACGTACGAGCCACAGCCCGGCTGGTCAGGAACCGACTTTAGGTGCTTGTCCAGTGCCAGCTTGAAGACTGCCAGGGGTCTGTTGGTAATCCCCCTTATGTATGCTGGGAGGCAGTTGAACAGTCTCGGGCCCCTGACACTTATTGTATGGTCTCTTAACGTGCTAGTGACACCCCTGCTTTTCATTGGGGGATGTTGCATCGTCTGCCAAGTCTTTTGCTTTCGTAGTGAGTGATTTTCGTGTGCAAGTTCGGTACTAGTCCCTCTAGGATTTTCCAGGTGTATATAATCATGTATCTCTCCCTCCTGCGTTCCAGGGAATACAGGTTCAGGAACCTCAAGCACTCCCAGTAATTGAGGTGTTTTATCTCCGTTATGCGTGCCGTGAAGGTTCTCTGTACATTTTCTAGGTCAGCAATTTCACCTGCCTTGAAAGGTGCTGTTAGTGTGCAGCAATATTCCAGCCTAGATAGAACAAATGACCTGAAGAGTGTCATCATGGGCTTGGCCTCCCTAGTTTTGAAGGTTCTCATTATCCATCCTGTCATTTTTCTAGCAGATGCGATTGATACAATGTTATGGTCCTTGAAGGTGAGATCCTCCGACATGATCACTCCCAGGTCTTTGACGTTGGTGTTTCGCTCTATTTTGTGGCCAGAATTTGTTTTGTACTCTGATGAAGATTTAATTTCCTCGTGTTTACCATATCTGAGTAATTGAAATTTCTCATCGTTGAACTTCATATTGTTTTCTGCAGCCCATCGAAAGATTTGGTTGATGTCCGCCTGGAGCCTTGCAGTGTTTACCTGGAGTTACCTGGAGAGAGTTCCGGGGGTCAACGCCCCCGCGGCCCGGTCCGTGACCAGGCCTCCTGGTGGATCAGAGCCTGATCAACCAGGCTGTTGCTGCTGGCTGCTCGCAAACCAACGTACGAGCCACAGCCCGGCTGGTCAGGAACCGACTTTAGGTGCTTGTCCAGTGCCAGCTTGAAGACTGCCAGGGGTC